GGGGTTTTGGGGGGCCCCCCACAAAGGGGGGGGGGGGGGGGGTGCTGCTGTGAGAACGGGATTTCGCCGCACTCATCAACGCGATACCGAATAGCAGCGGCGAATCAAGGTGTACCATGACCAAAACAAATCCGGCGCGGTATGGGACACGGGATACATATGACCGTTTCAAACTCGGCACACGCGTTCAAAAAACGACAACAAAAAGAGGGACAAGGGGAGTCCCCCACGCCACCAGCTGCTGCGGGACAAAACGCCTCCTTCCGTTTCTCTCACCATCTGCAGAACTCGGTGGCGGTGCCGGCCGTGAGGAGGTCTTCCAGCTGGGAGCAGATCTCCCTGTGGGCAATCGCAGGCGAATAATACAAAAACGCGGACGACAAATGTATGTGTGAGTGAGAGAAAGGCGTGTCTACTTTCAAGGACAAGGCAACAACACGAGCCAGGGAAAAATACACACATCGAAAAGTACAACAAAAAGTGTGGAAACCAGGATATAGGTATCTTCCCAGTGGTAGTGACGCACATACAACAGTGAGGGTATCCCATAAAAATAAGTAAATAATGGTGTCAGGTAACAACAAGCGAGCACAACCCGGCATCATGTACTTACAATACACCACCACGCAGCCTACGGCTGCTCTGAAGTTGGCGGACATGCCAGAGTTCTTTCGTGGAGCGCACAGCAGGAGATACGCTTGCACGTTGCGAATAGAAACAGAGGAGTTCCCACGTACATGCGAGATGACACATCATTGGTTTTCCACAAAAAATATTTTCGATACGTCATATCACCATGGAGCTGCATCTTATCTGCACAAAAAAGATCCGCCGCCTATTACTCTTTCCGTGGAGACGCCGCCGTTTGCGTCGGTGCTGGTGTCGTCGGCTTGTACGCCTCCACCCGATCAAAAACCCACCAGTCCCACGCAACGTGTCTGTGGGTGTCAGCTAGCCCGGGGCACCACACTGTTTACTGCTGTCTCTGGAGCCTACTTCCGCCAAACGTGTCTCTTCCTTATCCTACCGATATCACTTGCCGCCTTTTCAGCCCACTTCCTATGCCTCTCAGTAAAGCCACCGGCCTTCTTGACGGAGAGGGGAGGGTTGTAGGTGTGCGACGTGCTACGACTGGTTTTTTTCAATGAAAAAAAACTTGGGAGGAAGAGAATAAAGTCGTCCGTCCGCTCGCACGGCACCGCACCTGATGGTTTTCCCGTTGCTGACCATGACGGTAATGTACTCGGGAAAAACCTCGTCGCATGGTTCCTCCATCAGCTCTTCGAGCTTCTTCGTCACTGCCCCCTTTGCAGTACGCAAGAAGTACGCAAGCAGCAAAGCAACCAACGATGACGGCGCGTTCACAAAAAAAAGGGTCGAGACAAACGGCAGCGATAGCGACCGCGGGGAGAGAATCGCATGACGACGACGACATCGACAACGGTTACAGCAGCGCGATCATCACTATGAAGCTGCAGGAACGACGAAAAATACAACAAAAAGAAAGGCGTCCAGGACACAGCTGCAGCAAACGACCACAGCGAGGGCACGTCGAAAAAAAGGCCGAGACAAACGACAGCAGTAGCGACCCCGTCGAGAGGTGAGCTAGCGAGGATGATGGCAACGACAACGGCAACGGCGGCATCATATAACCATGATGGCAGCTGCAGGGACGACAAAAACGGCGGGAAAATACCCGATGGTCACCAGTCACCTTTCGCCCGATATCTGCTTGGCTGTGGCTCTCATGTCGGTACTGACAGCTACGGCTACAGTTAGGGTCCGCACTAAAGAACTTCTTTCGTTTGCCCGAGGCTCGATTCTTATTCTCTCTATGGGGTACTGTGCCCCAACATCGACTACGGTATATGACACAAGATACCACACCCCCGGGACCGATTTTGAAAGCTCGATTACGCCACGACGAAGAGGATGCACAAAAGAAACGACACATTTTCCGAAAGCTCGCGACGAGACGGCTTCAACGCCGTCATTTTCGGCGCTGTGACTCTCTCTGCTGTTGAGCAATCAAGATTTGAAAATCGGTCCAGGGGGCGTGTTATCTTTGTGTCGTCTACGGTATACGGAGTATAGGTTATAGTGTAGGACTGAGCACGTGTTCTTACGGTCAACTTCAAAATTTTACTTCCTTTCAACAAGCCTAAACTCCGTGGCACCACATGCGACACACGGACGATTTATTCTTTATGCTGACGAAACTCCGCGGCAGACACACAGAAGCGTCTTAAGAGGGAGAGAGGCCGAAATTAGACATGTACACAAGACTCCACTCACTTCAGCACGTTCCCGTCGACTGCTGTAGTTGTATCTCGAACGTGTAGTCTTTTCTGTGTTTTATGAAGTATATTTCTAAAAACGTGACGACAGAAGAGCATGTTTACGCGTATGTACCGGACCGCCTTCGCGAGAAAATAAGTTTTATGGGGAAATAGCACAGGGAGGGGAGACGCAGACCGTATTCCCTCACCCTGACCCTAACCCAACTTCCCAGATTGTATGCTCTATCCAACATGTTCAAATCGAAAAACCCTGCGCAGGCTACTGCAACACGTTGGTATGCATAACAGTACCTTGACCGATGCGGTGTTGTCGCCTTCTTGCATGAGGCCCAGCGGGAACGAGAAGTCCATCAGCTCCCCTTCTCCCCCTCCTCCTCCTGCCGCCGCCGCTTTCGGTTGGCCCGCCGAACCACCCCCATGTGCCGCCGCCTCAGACACCATCGTCGAGCGCCTCTATCGTCCGTTCCTCCTCTGCGGTTATCCTCTCCGCCTCGAAACCAAAAGCGCTGCTGCTGCGAGCTGTTTCAGCGCCGCTAACACCGCTGGTAAAGGAGGCTCTCCGACGCCGCCGCCGCTGTCGATGCCGCCGGGACAAAAACGGTCGCGACACCGTGAGGGAACTCCCGGCTGCCCTCCCTCCCCGCAGGTTAAGGTGATTTTTTGCTGTTGATCGCTTTTGCTTGCCCTTCAGACACGACGTCTCGATCGGGGTTCGATTCTCACTCACGCCCAACGCAAGAAATTGAGTGCACACGCACGGAAAGTGTTTTGGATGGGGTTGGTTGTTTGACAGCCAACCCGCGAGAACCGGGTTGTTTTTCCTCGTCCCTTGAACCGAGGAAGAAGAAACAATTTGGAACACCTCGACCCTGAGGAAGTTCATCATCAGGGAGCGCAAGGCGGGGGGCGCGCGGGAGTGGAAGAGCCAGGGGGGGCGGGGGGGGGGGCGCGGTAATATGATTGTTTGGGATGGAAGACCGGTGCGCTTGTCGAGAGGTTTGACAGCACCCGCTGAAAAAAAGCTCGCTCTTACCGTCAATAGATCTAACACACGTAAAAAAATGTGCGACATCAGTTCGAGGGTACATGGTTCGAGCACGAAATCTGAAGTATTTACTGTTTAACTACATGTCATGTCCGTACGCAAATCTGCTCTGCATGCACTCGTTTCACGTCTATTGGCGTCGTCAGCGGTACTTTTCGGGGATGGATGTGTGCGTGATGTGATCATCCCGTTAAACTTCTCTCTACTGCCGTATTTCTAGAGGGGATGCAGCAGGGGAACACTTCGGGTGTGTGGTGCTGGCAAGGGTTCTCCCGACACGACGGAATCCGAGGCAGGATCGTGTGGCAAGTGTTGCTTGTGCGGAGTGTCCAGGGCGCGAACTCAACTCTTGCGACCGCACACCACAGCAGCAGCGACTATTATATGAAGGGGTGTATTTTCGCACAGCAAATAGACTGACGTGGGGGGGATCGAGGAGCAGCAGAAGCAGCAAACGTCGGCATTGCAATGCAGCGTTGCTTTGGCTGCACACACAACTAAAAAAGGCCCGTCGCAAACTCGCTCGCTCCTGTGGGTGTACCACCCCTTACTGACCGGTCAATCGGTGGGTGTGTCCTGCCACCTTTCAAGATTATTGAGCAAATGGTAATGGCACCGCTGTGTCTAAGAGCATCCCAGTGGCTGCTTCCCCCGGCAGATTATACGGGGGCAGGTGCTCCACAACCAGGCGGGTCATACGCACAGAGGGCGCTTATTAGAATCAGAGGTGGGCGGTGAAGGCATGCGAGTGAAGCTGTGCCCTCTCGTGCGGTGTACCATAACCGGGCTGTTCCTGGGGGTAAAAAGAGGGACTGGATCCATGCTCACCATCAAGCCCGGCTTTCGACTAAACTCTCACCCAGCCTTCAGTCCAGAGCGTTTTTCATATCCCTGCACTCACCTCTCTCTCCAAACCAAGGACTCTCTCACACTGGCAGGCGGCAGTAGCGCAAGTCAGTGTTCGTCCAGGAGACGAGCAGACCAGGGGGGCCGGCACCTAGCGCTTGTCAATGGGATAGGGGGGGTCTACATTGTGCCGCCCAGAGCACTCTCCATACCAATACGGACACAGCCAGCGAGAGACAGCGATAGCATTGCACAAGGAGAGAGGCAGAGCGAGAAAAAGAGGGGAGGAGCTTTCGCTAGAGAGAGGTGGGCTGGCGGGCGAAGGAAAACGTTTCTGTCGGCACAACACAGCAATGGAGGAAGCAAGCAAAGGTGCATCATCATCATCATCATCAGCAGCAGCAGAGCATGTTGCACCAACACCGCCGGCGGAGCCGACAGCAGCGGCCGCAGGGCCGAAGCGTAACACCGCCCCTTCCACCTCCTTCGAAGGCTGCCGCCCGGCCCTGAGTCAAGAGGTCCTGGAGGTGGTGAAGGAGATGGGCTTCGAGAGCATGACGCCCGTCCAGGTGTGTGTATCTTGAACCACGATTTTTGTGGGAAATTTGAGTTTGCTCCCGCTTAGAGCTTAGAGAGCATCAGTGGCGTGCGGCAGGCGCACAGGGCCAAGGCGATGGTTGGTTTTGATGTCGCTGGATATTTGCGTTGGAGGCGCGGACTTTTGCGATTTCTGGGGATGGGGGGTATTAACCGACGGGGGTATTAACCGACCGAGAATGGGAGACGAGACATCTGTCGCTCCACTAAACAACAGGACCACCACCGAGGTTTTCTGCTGTAACAGCGGTATCACCTACAAGCCTGTGGGCCAGCCAAGAAGCTCACTTTCGTTGTTTCGCGTCTCACGCTGCCAATTCCACGAGTTTAGGCTTGAAATTTTGTGGCTACTCTTAGAAGACAACAGAGGATGCGCTGGGGCCAGAATTTTTCGAAACTGAGTTGATTTGGTTTTTCAATGCTAAATTGGAGGTGTAGTGGGGGATGCTTCCGGTACTGAAATCAGTATTCAAAAAGTTTTACAGATTAAGCCGAAATTTGGCACTTACCTGGGAGCATAGCTTGAACAATGATGGTAGTTGCAAGGCTCAGGTCATGTTCCATCAAAAGTTATGGCTTCGTAAAATATCCTCTACAACACTCAAGATACTGAGGAAAAGTGAGGATATCGCGATTTCCGAGGCGGTTTTTGCGAACTAGAACCTGAAATTACATGTGGTTGGTAGAGGTTACAAATGTCCCCGAGTCGGGTCGGTGTTTTTTTTATTATTATTGTCAGTATGACCCAACAAGTCCATCTCTATCTAAGCTAGTCTAAGATAGAGTATGTAGCAATGGATCCATATCGTCAGCGAAAGTTCTGTTTTTCCACGATTTCCTGAGCAGCACACAGCGATTCTGTAGTTTATCCCGTAAACCTTACAGAAGACTAGTGACGTGGAAATCGGCCGGCTGTGGCCTATCGCGCGTAGATTTGTGTGTAGATGTGTGCCAGTGGGGCCGTGTGTTTGCGCGTCTCAAAGGGGCTTGCGATCAAAGTGTGTTCCTTAGGCCTTCTCGGGCTGGGAACAGCAGGTAAGTCGAACACTGAACATGAACAAGAGGGCGCGACATCAGCCGGCGCTGGCAGCTGGCCCGATTGCGCCTTTTTATATCTATCCAATTGCACCGCTTCTTTCTCCCTCCAACCCTCTCTCTCTCTCTCTCAAATAACTGCAATTCCCTCATAAGCTGATTACTCCAACCCAAAACAAACACTTCCTCAATTCTAGTCTCCAACTCATATACTTTTCATGACCTTATTTGACGATACTTCAACCAGAACTAAACCCAACCCTGATCCCAGAGTCAACATTCTCAAGTCCATTCCATCACGCCTCAACATATTATACTGCGATTAAACTACCCCAAGTCTTGTTACACTCACTAAAACTAAAAACTAGGGTTGACTTATTGCACGACATTCGCCCCCACCAGGTTCAACGTATTCTTATCTGCGATCAGTTTCGTTTGAATTAACACTTAACCACAACGTGCAATGCTTGACCTACAACCAATATATTTCTCCTGCAACAAGTATGTCCGTACCTTATTGTGTAAATACACACCCCAATTCCGTAATGACCGTGATACCACTGCAGTATGACTCCATCACAAGGTACATTCTTTAGCCAAAACAACAATTGCTCAGAACACCACATTTAATTTTGACCCGTATTCGACGGCACCACTTGGCACGCTTTTCCGCAGTCCTATGCACTTCCAATTCAAACGGCTATTAAACATCTTCCAACTCAAACATGTACTTCTTGGCGCTTTTCGCCGTTCGGTGTGCATGCCAACACCACGCTCCTGGATCTTGTACCAAGTTGTCCGTTGTCAGATTCTTCTCCAGAAGCGCCACATTGATGTTTTCGCCGATGTCCACCAGCTTGATGGTATGCTTGATGCCTTCTTCCCACCTCGGATCCGGAGTCACGTGCACCACCTTCGCAAACTGCCACCCAGCCTTTGCAGTCTTAAAATATAAATATGCACCAATCATCGCCGTACTTCGAAGACTCGGCCTACCCCGCGTGTCCAAATTTTTTTGTAATCCTTCTGCACGTGTCTCTCTCCCTTCCTGCTTGCGATTGCCCTCTTTGCACCCTGAATACGGTACCCCCGATACCTAATGTTCCCTCCGGCCGATTGTTCCGGCTGCTCATTCCAATATTTAAGTACCACGTCCCCATGTTGTCCCAACTCTACCTCATGCTCCCACGTACACTTAGCCAACCCCGTCCAATTCTTTACTATCCACTTCTTCCTCCACGGACTCATGCAACGGTAGGGGTGCACGAATCCCTTCTGAGTCTCAAACGTGAGAAACTCCATATCTCAGCCTGAAATGGACATTGACACAACATAAAAATATGACGTGACAGGTAATCCGATGGGCTAGATGAAACACGATTGAAATTTGAAATCGGAGTTGATATTCGAAGATTATTGGTTGGTTATTCATCTGAATAACCGAAGGTTGTCGGCCATAATGTGCTATCCCTACCGTTGCATGACTCCACGGCCTCTGCCGTAAGATGAAACGGAAGCGCTAACTCTGAAAAGTTGTTCAACACATAGTTGCTTATAAGCCCCACGGCAAAAACCTAGACCTATCCACGTTCTCATGCTGAGTATAACACTTTCTTACACCGATACACCGACACCCTCTCATTAATGTTCTTCCCCGGTTCATTCTCATTAACGTCCAAAAACAGTATATTCGAGCCCACGCTTTCCCGTCAGGACCGTCCCCTGGACCCACGATCAACACCAAATACGGCCCGGTCCAATTATTTGCCAACTTCGGGATCAACGCGAACGTTTTTTCCTTACCTCTACTATTCACTGGCGATTTAAGCACGTGTTCCCCTCCACCAGAAATCATACTCTTCTCATCATACACCAAAACCCACTAACCCCTCCTTATACTTCGGTCTCTTTCCTACTATGGAGTTCAACACCTGATCGCTCTTCTCATTCTTAGCCTTGGTCGTATTATCCTGCTCTCTCACCAACTCGTATGCCTTTCTTTGTTTATCCCGCATCAAAAAAAAAAAATCCAGTTGGTCCTGCTTTAGGCCCTGATTTCCCGAAACACCCCTTCCCTCCAAGATTGTCATCGGCAACCTGGGATACCTCCCCGTTGTTGTTGTGGGCCGCTACCGCGTGTGGCAACATCTCGTCCCAGTTCGCTTGGTCGTCCACAACCAAGTGCGACAACATTTGACAAAGCGTATGATTCAACCGTTCCGCCATTTCGTTCGTCTGCAGATGATATGAGCTAGTAAACTCCTCCACCGTCCCCAGCATATTTTACACTCCCTTCGCTACCTCATTCGCAAACTCTGCTCCCCGATCTGACAACAAGGTGTGCGGAGAACCCCACCTCGCTTCCTTTGCGCCCTTGTTAATGGGTACCCCCCGGCATGTCTGCTGAATAAATATACCACCAGGAACACATACCGTTGTCTTTAGTCGTTTTCGGCAACGGACCCAAATAATCAAACGACACCATCTGCCCCGGTCTGCTCGGAAGAGGCAAAGACACCAACGGCCAACATTTTGTATGCCACGGCACCTTCCGAAACTGACAAGAATAACACCTATGGATCCACGAACGCACGCTTTCCGCCATCCCAATACACCAAAACACCCTCTGTAATATACCTGAAGCCACCTTCTCTCCCAAATGCACCGCTTCCTTGTGGGCGCAATCCATGACCCACGGTCTCAGCATCCTAGGCACATACGTCCGAACGGGCTCTTCACCAACCAGTCTCTCAAATTGCCCGGAATTTGGATTCGGATTTTCTGCAGGGGCTTTCGATTCCTTCCTCACCAACAAATGCTTCGAATTCGGCAACATCAACAGAGTAACCCGTGCAACCAACCGCTTCAACTCATCCAAGTCAACACCTACACCTTCCGGAATATCTCCCTCCTTCATTCTCTTTGAATTGGCGTGCCCTTCGATGGCCGCAATTACTAATCGCGCCGTATCGTCTTCCTCCTGAATGTCCGCGGCTGAACAACATGCCGGCGCTGTGTACAGCACTGCTGCGCCAGGCGTTTTTCCTACACCCTTGGTGGGGATTAAGATTATTCTCCATACGTTTACTGCCCTGGCTAGGTCAGTCAATGACGGTAGGTAGCCATGAGCGTGTTTGGCTTCAAGCCGGCTGATACTGCTGTAAGGACCGGCTAATGCTGTAATTTTGACCCATCTTCCGCTCAATATCTGCTGCTGTGGTATATTACCCGTCTTTATCACACAAATTCTCCCCATATTCAATTGCCGCTTGCGTCTGTTCTTCATCATACTCTTGCAACGGAATTTGAGGCAACGGAAGTGCTACCGGACCCCTGCCCCCGGAACCTTTACCCCCACCACCACCCACAGCCCCTCTTCCTCGAGCCACACCACCTCTATCCCTACCCCGCGCAACAGCCCTACCACTACGAGCATTACTGCCACCCCCACCACCAGCAACATTCCCACTCCCCTGAGCAGTACTGCTACTACCGCCCCCACCAGCAACAGTCCCACTCCCACGAGCGTTACTGACTCCGCTTTGACCCCTATGTCTGGGCCTTCTTGGGCTTTTCCTTTTTCTCAGAGGGCGGTAACGACGTGGGTAAACTCTCGAATCCCAGCCGCCTGTTGTGCACAGAGCAGGGCACTTGTCGCGGTTTCGGATTCCTTCCGGTGCGCAAGATTAGCCACATTCGCGACACTGAACTCCTCCCTCAGACGGCTCTTAGCTCTTCCTTCGCCATTTCAAGGGTTGGCATCAGCCCTGCTCCACCAATTCTCTCCCTGACCGCCCGCGGAACGTTCCTGCTGTTCACTTTTCCCTTGACCTCTACCACTTTGTGCTCAAGGGCAGTGAACTCTGTGTCCAACCTCTTGACCTCCGGGTCCCTCTGTGCCTTCTCCCATCTCTTCTCAAGGTTAGGTACAGTGTGCTTTTTCTCGTCAAACCGACGCCGTACCCGTTCTAGCACGTTTTGAGACGTCGGGGAAGGGGCAAGGCACCTCGGTGCAGATCGGAGAATGTCAATTGAGGCAAGAGAGTTAAGTTGGAGGCCCCAACAAGCGGCCAGTGCGAAACTGGCAAACGAGATGACCAAAACGTTCGCAGCAGCAGACAACAATCCGCCGCCTTAGAAGCACGAGAACGCATGTAGCCAAGAGGGAGAGACGACTCTTGTCAGCTACCTGGTAGTATTTTCGAGCAACTCCGAGACGGTGTCGGGGCGATCAGTGTTGGCTGGAAACAGGTTTCAGTCGTGGTGGAGATTGACGGACGACCAATTTCCTCCTCGGCAACTACGGTGGCAGGTGGTGAACATCAAGAAAACGAAGAAGAAGAGGGCGAAACCACCGGTAAATAAACCCTCTGTCTCACAACAAATAGCGGAATTAGCAGAGGAACACCACACGAGGTGCAAAGAGCTCTTTACACCTCGTGGTGTTCCTGTGCTAATCCCGCCATTTGTTCTGGGAGAGAGGATTTATTTACCGGTGGTTCCACCCTCTTCTTCTTCGTTTTCTTGATGTTCACCACCTGCCACGACGATTGTAGACGGGGAAATTGTAGAGGAGGAAATTGGTCGTCTTTACTCTCATCCACCAATGACTCAAAAGCGATTCCACGACAGCACTGACTTCCCCGCCACCGCCTCGGAGTTGCTGGAAAATACTAGCTGGCAAGAGGCGTCTCTCCCTCTTGGCTACATGCGTTTTCGTGCTTCGGAGGCGGCGGATTGTTGTCTGCTGCTGTGAACGTTTTGGTCATCTCGTTTGCCAGTTTCGCACTGGCCGCTTGTTGGAGCCTCCAACTTAACTCTCTTGCCTCTTCCTTCACACCCAACCGGAGTGCGATCTCTGCGTCTGACTTCTGTCGTCCACCCTCCATGTTAGACACCAGATCTTTTAGAGCTCCCACGTCACCTCCAAATTGTGGGTACAACAAGTCAAGAATCGCCCGCGACCTATCTCTCATCTCTTGACCCCTGCCTTCCGGCTTCTCGCCCTGGGACTCTCCATCTCCCTCGCCCCTCTTCCCTGAGGCACTGCCCCCTCCTCCATCCTCCCCAGCCGTCTTGTCCTCAATATCACCTGACGTACGTAACACTGGACGAACAGCAGCTGACTTTGGAACTCTGTCTCTGCGCAATACATCGTGAGCTCTGCGCGCATAATACTCTGAGCTACTCCTAGTACCGCGCGGCGCCAATAGCCCTAACCCTGGCATTGCCATTGCCTCGATCGCCATTCTCCGATCTGCACTGAGGCGCCTTGCCCCTTCCCCCGACGTCTCAAAACGTTTTGATCCCTCCCCCGAGGCTCTCGTCAGACTCCCACCTCGACTTGACGACACATGTTTTCCCCACACGTCTCTGCCCTCATCCCCCTGCGTCACACTTGCCCCCAACGCGTGCGCGATACCCCCATCACCCATCTCGCCCACCGGCGGCCCGCCATACCCCCCAGAGACCTCAGCCCCTGTATTTTTGTGTCCATAGTCTCTCTAACCCAAATAACAACTTCGATATGGGAAACACGGAATAGGAACCACCACTTGCGACTTGGTATATGCAATTCACGAAGACATGCTAGAAGAATAGCTGTTCCTGTGTGTCTTCCTTGTGTACATTGACTCGCTGCTACATTTTGTTCTTGTGTGCTTCCTTGTCTACATCGATCGAAGCTATGCTCTTGTGTGTTTTACAACACAAGGGTCTTCGCTTTCCTCAACCCTTCCAAGGTGGTGACATCTACCCGTGCCCCCCTCCCCCCTTCGGCAGGCAGCGACGATGCCCCTGTTCATGTGTAACAAAGACGTGTGCGTGGAGGCGGTGACGGGGTCCGGTAAGACCCTCGCCTTCGTCGTACCGGCGATCGAGATGATCTTGAGAAGGGAGGTAGACCTCAAGCGTAACCAAGTCGGGGCCATCATTCTCACCCCGACAAGGTGAGAACCGGCATCATCACGTTGCGTTGAAATATACCGGTATGTTTTCACGGCGTACAGTAGCGAGCATAGCTGTCGGTTCGAGGTAGAGGTGGGAGATTTTTGCGACAAGGTATGTAGGTATCATTGTCCGTGTTTCTGGGGCAGCGGTAAAAGTACATTGGGGAGTTGTCGTTGTCTTGGTTGCACCTTTGGACTCGCAATCGGTTCACCCTGTTCGCAGCCTTACGGCGTGTTTATCGGGTAGACTTTGTTCAGTGTTGTATTAACTTGAGGAGATGAGAACTCGCCCGTACCAGGGCGCGGCACAAGAGGGAGTGCTGCTGCGTGCAGCACGCCAAGCAAGAGGGTCCCCGTGTATCGTCACGGGGACCTCCACTACTAGTAGCATCTACCATCTGTGTTAACACGAAAACGTATTAGCAGACATATCCCAACCATATCGGTAGACCCACGAACACATCCCTTTATGAGTCTCAACAGCTCCTCACGTTCGTAGAGTCCGACCTTCTGTACAACACCGAGCTCGAATTGTACAAAAGGTCGGACTCTACGAGTTGTGAGTACCTGCTGTGCATAGCGTTAAATAGTCGTACACCTCTACATGACGTTGCTAAGAACATCGCATAGCATGCCTATGTATATGGGAGGTGCAATACGACGGGACCGGGGGTTGCAGCCTGCCCGCATCTATTTCTGCTGTACATGGAGGTAAACAGTCGTGCAGCTGTACACAAAGTTACCACATATATTGCGCGTTAAAGCACTTTTGATCGCGGAAGAAGACTTGCAAGTACACGTCGCCCAGCCTGCCATAGGAACAAATATGCATGTCGAGGTGCGATTCCATGGGCCTGCCAGACAGGGGGGGGGGGGGGGGGGGCGTACTCTTATGTTTTGCATGCCTTAGCGGTTAGACCATTGACGACGCGTCCTCGAGAGGACGGAGCATTGTTCCCACAGGACCGATCACCGATGGCCAATCGTTCCTTCCTACTTTGCCAAAGGTGTCTCAAAAATGTCTTCCCTAGTTTGTCTATCCTACCGATGTCCCTTCCCGCCTTTTCAAACCACTTTCTACTCCCCAGTACCGCTACCGTCCTCTCCTCTCTATTCCATGCCTCAAACATCTCCCTGTACGTCACTTGTATTCTTCCCAGCTCAGTCATGTACACTTCCCTCTCCTTTTCGTACCACGGACATTCCGCGACTACATGAACACTGTCTTCGCATTCGAAGCCGCAATCGCATTTGAAGTTATCGTCTTCGTCGTCTACCGTCCTATGTCTTCGTCGACGTTCGCGAAGGCTTATGTCCCCGGTCCTGAATTTGACCTTAAGCTTTGTCCCTGCATCCATTGGTCCATGTAGGTAATCCTTGAACCCTATTCCTTCTTTCAACATTCCGTACACTTCTAGACCCTCCTTATCCTTGGATTCTTTCCTTAGATTCTGTTCTTCTCTGTCGGCACAAGCAACAGATATCTTCTTCTTGAACCCCTGTAGACCCTCCGTTTCCAGCGTTTCATCTTCGTCGATGTCCAATCCCTTCCATACGTCCTCTACAACCTTGACCCATTCCGTGGGTTGTCTACCCCTCTTTTTGTTTGCCCACTTCGCCTCCCATACTATTCTCGGCAACCTCTCCTCTCCCATCCCGCACATGCGATACTGCCATGTCAGCTTCCTTACGTCAGACAGGGGGGGGGTGCACATTTCCGTCGCACAGCCTGCCCAAGAGTATGTGTATCACGCGCGTGCGAGAAACCCAAGGATTCTTTGTAGTGGTCCGGGTATTTGGTCAAGTCGTGGACATACCGACGAAAGTATATCTACGCCACGTGCCGATATTGTTTACAACTTGAAACACTTCCATTTTTTTTACGTCCGGGGTATTACGCGAAGACCGGCCCCCCGTTACGGGGGCGGGGGAAGCACACATAGACCTGGATCTTCTCCTCAAAGGACAAATGGACCCGTCTTAGCTTGACGGGGTCCACTTGACGGGGTCCATTTTTTTGTCCTTTGAGGAGAAGATCCAGGTCTATGTGTGCTTCCCCCGCCCCCGTAACGGGGGGCCGGTCTTCGCGTAATACCCGGACGTAAAAAAATGGAAGTTTTTTAGTTTTGTTGACAGCAACATCGGCAAGTGGTGTAAGTATGCATCGATCGAGGATTGGACGGAGCGCGGTAAAGCAGTAGATTGACATACAAACACGTCAACAGCAACAATAAGCATCGATGCAGGTTCGCACAGGCTCTCGCAGTTGGAGATTCACAAAAGGTGCGTCACGGCTGAGACTTGTGATCTCTCATGTGCGGTAAGGTGCTGCAATGGTTGAATTGCAGCGTTGAACCCCGGGGCACACATCAACACGAGATGGCGACTCTGCGTGTGCGTGTGCCAAAACTGTCTGTTATGTGTGAAACTTTGGCTGATGATATTGCTGTGGCGGGGCTACAGCAGCAGCAACATCAGACAGTCGTTGGGAGGGAGCCTCCAACCCGGCAAGCTGCGTTTTTTCTTCCCCATTTTTGAAGAGATGTTTCCCCGCTTGCCCGCATTGCAGGCGGTGGTGCTACAGCAGCAGCATTACAGCAGTAGCACAAAGCACACCATCCATGGCTTCATGATGTGCTTGTGTAGCATCGCGTAAGTGTTCACAAGGTAGACACATGTGATGAGCGTGTTTATGCTATGCAGGGCGGGGTTTACCTCCTGGTACCTACGTTGTTCCGAGGTATCTACTGTAAACATCGAAGCGACAGAAAGAGAGAACATGCTTCATATCTACTCCGTGGGAACGAAGGTGTCCGTGCGGGTAGCTCTCAAGGCACACAGCAGTGCTGCACCGCAGGGCGCGCTATGTACGCGCGGGGCGCGCTGCGTTCCTTCTTCCCGTCCGGGAGCCGCCAGAAGAACGAAAGAAAGACTGAGAGTTGTGGGAGGTAGAGACTGACTGCTGCGAGTTGTGAGCGAGGTAGAGACATGCCGCCATATGCTATAAGTTGTGGCTTGCACGCCTCCGCGTCGCGTCATTCTGACCTGCTGATTATGACGTCATGCAGAACCCGCTAAGTGAACCCAGGGAGAGCAAAAATATGCTTGATTTTCGGAACAATTATTTAGGCCGTCCAGCGCGGGTAGCTCTTCTTCACACAGTGCACTGCGTGGTGCGATACTCGCGGGACGTGCTGAGTATATTCTTCCCCTCCGGGAGCCGAAAGAACGACAGAAATCGGTTTAAACGGCGACCCCGAAATAAAATTGGGTGCCTCAGAGAGCAGCACGCGCGAACGTAAGGTTGCAAGTCAGCACACAGGGGTGCGATCGATTTTCAAAGCTTAATTTCTCCACAACCATGATGGTGCGAGCGCCAACTGATCGTTCTCAGGAAAGCTCTCGATGAGATATTTCCAAAACCGCCCGTCTCGACAGTGGTAACCGCCTGGTTGTGGAGAAATTACGCTTTGAAAATCATTCGCACCCCTGTGTACTGACTTGCAACCTTACG